ACCCTCGCAGCTAACCCTAACTAGTCAGACATACTTCAGTCCTAGTTAGAAGTCACATCCCAGATATGAATGTCAGCAATAGGGGTGATCTAGTACACAGGAAGCCACAGGAATTCGATGGGAAGGCACCGTGGGAAGCATATAGAGCACAATTTGAGCTCCTGGCAGAAACGAATAGATGGACAGAGGAGCACAAAGCAGTATATCTGACAATGAGTCTGAAGGGACAATCACTGGAAATACTTGGACAGTTGTCAGTTGACGACAGGCACAACTATAAACCACTGGCAGCTGCTCTAGAGCTCAGGTATGGAACTCAAAATCAGTCCGAAGTCTAAAGGGCTAGGATTAGGACTAGAGTCCGTGCTAAAAGGGAGAGCCTGCAAGAGCTGGCACAAGACTTGGAAAGTATGGCACACAAGGCCTACCCAACTGCACCACCCGATGTCCTCAAGCTGTTGCTGAAGGATCAGTTTGTAGTCCCCAACTGAAGATACAAGTGAAGCAAGCACACCCCTCTACTATACAAGATGCAATGGCCAGAGCTCTTGAATTCGAATCCTATGTTAAGTCCAGCACAGAGGTACCAAGGTTGGTACAGTCATCAGGATTCAAGGCCAGAAAAGGACAGCTTTCAGAGAAGTTTGAGGGACTTTGCTGGCACTGTAACAAACCAGGGCACAAGAGAGCTCAATGCCAGAAACAGGGAAGATGCCACGGCAGAAAAGGCTGCTACCCAGAAAAGTTGTTGGAACTGTGGAGAGCATGGACACTTGAGGAGCCAATGTAAGAAGAATACTACCAATAAATCAGCCTCAAGGAAACCAGTAGTGGTTCATGTTGATGGACATCTACCAACCCCAATTGTGAAAGTCCCAACAGCTAAGTGTAAAATGCCAAGCACACATAGTGTCTACGTGACAGGAAAGCTGGATGGCCAAAAGTGCAACTTTGTCACAGATTCTGCATCTCAGCAAACCCTTGTGAATATCAAGATGCTGGATCACAAAGGAGTATCAGAAGCCATACAGAAACTCTGTGGTGTGACAGGACATTCTGCAAGGTTGTGGGGACTAGTGTGGGTAACTATTGAGCTT